ACACGAACATGGTCACCGGGTGATTCTTGGGATAACAAAATAACTATTTAAAATAAGCGCATTTGAATTACAAAATTAGTATTATACTTACAACACGCGAGTATAAGCCAAGTTTTAATTTCATTGGTTGATCAATAGGAATTCTGATTGGATGAAATTAAAGATTAACTCCGCATTACCCTTTTATATATATTTTTTTTTTTTGAAAAAAAAAACTGATTGATAATTTCATCAGTGCCTTCAAATTTTTTAACTTGCTCACGTGAAGTTCGAAACTTTATTCGAAAAGAAACGTTGAATTTCATTAGTCTCTTCGATTCCAAAGTTAAAATTTAATGTATAACATTGTTCCATTTAGATCAGCTTTGTTAATGTGAAAGATGTATCTTAAAATATATAAAAAAAATATATAATCTTACAAAATATCCGTTATTTTTTAATTAGAAAGAAATTTTTTTCATGAAAATTATACGTATTATAAAACAACATCGATATAAATAATTCGTGTAACAATGATCAATAAAAATAAAGACCTATGCTCAACACGCGACACCTTAAAAAAAGATGTCGATATAGACATCATTAAGTTCAAGCAAGAATTCACGATTATGTGTACTGTCACGTTTAAAGCAATTACCGAAAAGAACAAGGTATTTACGCGTAGATTTAAATCATGTGTATAAACTCTAGTAACTATCCCACCGATCTCCTCACTCTTCTTTGTTATATTTTTATGGGAACACATGATCCACATAGGGTAATAGTGCTAAATATAACGAGCTAGTGGATGAAATCAGTCGCAATAATTTTCACGATGCCTCCGGTGCTAGAAAATTACGATTATGGATAATGACCTTCTCTCGTGCCACTTCGTTGTTGGATGAGTCTTGTGGTGCATTGGTGAATGCTATACTTAAACTTGATTGGACTGGTCATGATAATAATTTAGTGGTGATATATGTAATGTTCTTGGCTAATTTGATTTCATCGCATTCTGATTATATGCCTAAAGTCTTGGGAATGCTGGTTAATCATTTTGTATTTCGTGAGTATTAATATGATAAAATCATGTTGAATTACATTTACACCTTATTAATTTGTTAGATCGCATTTATTTATTTATTCATTTATTATTATTATTATTATTATTATTATTATTATTGGTTCTAGGTGTTGATAAAAACGGCGTAATACCATTAAACCTCGAAAACATACACGGAAGGGTTCATTATGCCTTAAAAAACATTTTTCCAATGGTTCCGAGTGGTGCTGAGGAATTATTCGGAATTTTATCTCGCGGATTTCCTCATAAGAGTGAATCCTTACCTGCGCAAGTCACATATCTTAAAAATTTATTGCAATTATTAGAATATATTCCATGCCTTCAAGGACAAGTTTTAGAGTTGATATTTAATCGAATTATTGAACTTGATGTAAGTTTTATTTAATTTCATTTTTATTTGTTATTTAATTTATCATAATTAATAAATACGTATTAATAAATCAAGACTGAAGTTCAAGGAAAGATCGAGGAAATTGAAGATATAGAAGATGCATCAACAAAGTATGAATTAAGTTTACATTCGGATCAAGGTAGCCAATCAAGTTGTGCCTCTTCCATTTACGGGAAATCTCGGTTCAATTCTCCGACCGATTCTTATGACGGTGATTTTGATTACGGTTCCGAAGAAGAAGCTCTTGATATTGAAGATTCTGCTCCTTCTATTGTTGCTCTTGATATTGGTGAAATGATTGAAAAATTAGATTGTATGATCAAATTAGTTTTTGATTATCTTAAATGGTTTTTTGATAAAGGTACAAAGGACGAACGTGATGACTTATTTGATATCCTTTTGACCATTTTTGAGGAAAATATATTATACACCTTCAAATCTCGGTATATTCAATTCATAATTTTTTGGTACGTTTCGTTGGATAAATCATACCCACGACAATTCCTCTCTCTACTTCTTAATAAGATACTCAATGACAAAGAGCCTGTTATAATAAGAGAAGCTTCATCACAGTACATAGGTTCATTCGTTGGTCGTGCTAATTATTTAAATTCTACTGAGATCAGATTATGTATTCAGGCATTATTATTATGGACGGAAAGATATATTGAGAATTACGAACCTACTTTACAGTTACCTGATCCACAAAAACATATGACATTTTATTCAATCGTGCAAACGTTGATGTATATTTTTTGTTTTCGGTGGAAAGACCTTCGGGAAGTAACCGGTGGAATTCCTCGGTGGTGTTATGAAGTCGTAGGATATCACAAAGTAATCAATTCTTCGTTTCGACCTCTTCAGGTTTGTACTTTAATACTCAAATTCTTAAATGGTAATGTACTATATCATTAATTTTTAATTTACTTTTTAGGTATGTTCCAGGAACACGTCTGATATGTTTCAAGCAATTGTAGAAGCACTTCAATTTATGAATTTTGAAAAGCAATATTCAAAAAGATTCGGCATTATAGAGCAAGGAATACTAAACATAACAGAATATTTCCCTTTTGATCCATTTCGATTAAAAACATCACAACCATACATAGAACCAATATATCGAGATTGGGCAGGTATGCCGGATAAGAACCAAGTAGCTATGGAAGAATAAGGGTTCAAATGTGATCAGAATTATGTGAATTTAAAAAATTCTAGAAAAAAAAAAAACGAGCTGTTGAATGAGGGTAAACAAAAAAAAAAAAAAAAGTACATTAATCAATAATTTCTGAGACCAGCTTTTTGTACCGTTATTATTTATTTGTAAATCAATTCAAATGCTTCTTGTATTACTTTCTACTGTATATGAAAAAAATGTATTGAAAATTCAAGATTTACAATATAAATTATGGAATAAATTAATGCAAAGTATCACTTCAAAACATACAATTGAATGGCCAAGAATTATTACTGATGAAGCATGATCTAATAATAGGATTGAACAATTTGATATTCGATTATGAGATACTGATAAAAATTAACCAAACAGTTATTACAACCGTCAATAATCGAAGTGGAGTTTTTACAGTTTTTATTCACTTTCGATTACCTTAAACTTTCTTCTAATGGCAAGAGAATTAGATTATAAACCTTTTTTCGCATCTTTTTTACATTTCCTTAATTCAATGCTCATTTTATTTTAATAATTTTTAATAAATGTATACAATCTGTTCTATCTGATTTATAGGAATTAATTCATTTTGGACAATTATCAACAAAACCCATTTAAAATAAAAAGATTCCAGATTATAAAAATAAGCAAAATTAATACAACAAAATACTATCTATTTGTATGATATTATTAATAGATATATTTGAATATATATTGTTACTAATTATAAATACATAATATTTTGTTGCACTATTTCTGACATACAGTATTTATTGTTAATTGATTTACAATTTTAAATGTGACACAACGACAAATGTGGAGTTCATGTAATTTAAAGACTCACAGCCGCAGCATTTTCAATTCCATCATCGACATATTTGCATGCTAAATCCCAATAATGCTCACTCTTATGCTTTCTTAAGTAATCGCGTGCCATTTTCTCTGTTGGACACGTCTTAAACCAAAATCCTTTAAACCCATGATCCTTTACTTCTCCTTCCCAAATCAAGGAACATTTATTTTCCTTAGGGGGCTCCATGGGTTCATCAGCAGGTTGTTCACTGGTGCCTTCTCCTATTCGTGTAGTATCAGACCAGTCAATACGTCTCAACATCAATTTCTTATAATATTTGATAGCTTTAGGTCCTCCTTCAACAATCACTACAGTAAAATTCGGATTGATTATGACGGTGCCTGAAAGCCCAAGCTGTTGAGCATTCATGTCAACTTTAAATTTCATTTTAGGATGTGAAAGATCATTCATTCTATAAAAAATAAATAAATTTGTAAATAAAAATGTAATCACAAACATACAATTCGTACAATTAATAAATCAGGAAAAAAGGTTTATACATACTTAAAAACACAAACTATTGTTGCAGTCTGCTTATCTTCATCCATTTTCTTTTGCTTTTTTTCTTTTTTCTGCTCATCAGTTAGTTTACGTTCTTCATTTGCCTTTTGATGGGTTTCTTGTCGCTTTTGCATTTCTCTACGGACTTGAGCTTCAATTTTTGTCGGATCCTGAATGGCATCGTTTGTAAGGACTCTCATCAGATTACTCAATTTGACTTAATAAACAGGAAGAAAAATATATATATATTAACAATATTATATGAAATTAAATGCAAGCAAATATTTTAAATTTTATAATGTCACACCTTTAGGCAGGTCAGGGGGCAATAATCCCAAACGAATTTTATCTTGTTTTTCTTTTTGCAACTCTAACCGCCGCTGTTTACGCAACTTCTTTTGCTCCTATAGTTTAAATAATTTTTACTATATTGTATTATAAATAAATATTAAATCAAATTATATAAACAAACCTTTTTAGTCAAAATCAACGGTTTTGGCGGTGGGGGTCCATTGTCACCTGGGGGTCTAATTGGCACTGGATGTTGAACAAACCAAGTAGCAAGAGAATCCTCATCATCGATTTTAGTTAAACCAGCATCAATATCATTGTAAGTTTTATTTAACAAGAAAGGTAAATCCCACCATTCTATCACAGGTGGTGGATCTCTCTATTATAACAAAGTTAGAAAATGCTTGTTAATAAAATAAAATACAAATTAACTAAATAATGTATTAATTACCTTAATTGCTTTATCCGTTGAGTCAATTTCTGCTTCCATTCCGGCTTTCTTGACACTTTCAGCGATTTCTTCTTTCAATTTTTCCAGCTTGGCCTACAGCGTTCAGTGATTCAACTTTAATATTACATTTTATAATTAAATAAATTATATATATATATATATATAAAATCATTTTTAATACCTGTGCTCTTATTTGATTTCCTAGTGCTTCATATTTACCCCTCTGAACAAATTTAAATTTTTTACGGAGACGTCTTTGAGGTGCAGCGGCACCAGCTCTCGGATCGTAATAAGGATTCTGTGTAATATCATCTAATTCTTCAGAAGGTGCCAATGCCTTCGATTCTTGTTTCGATACAGTAGGTGCGAGCCTTTGGTTTGCCTGAGGCGAACAAATACCAACATTTCAACATTATGTTCTGTGTAGAAAAAGACTGTAGGTGTGCATTAAACGAAAAGATAAAAAGAATAACATGGTCTAACAATGTTTATACAAGCATACCTTCACAGTAGCAAAATTAGGCTTTGGCATCAACGCTGAAGCTCGTTTCAAATCCAATTTTCCACTTTGATCTAAAAGAAGTGCAGGGTGTGATTCTACTTTAAGTCCTCCTTTTGCCTTTATAGAATCATCACCCAGTTTTACCAGAGGATTTGTTGATGGCTACATAATATAAAGAGAAATTTTAATATTAAATTTATGATATCGTAAAAAAACTGAGAAAAAAAAAAAGATATTTCACCAAATAAGGATTGGCTTTAGCCAAATTCACTTTGATTTTCTCTTTAGCTTCTTGAATTTTGCGTTTAAGATCTGGGTCAATTCCTGACACAACCATGTTATTAGGTTGATAAGGAAGATTTGAAACTACGGGGGGTTGTACGGGTAATGTAGTCTTTTGC